CTACTGTTGACATACAATAATTGCCGGGTCGGATTTGCACGCTATCAAACCAATTTCCTTTTAAATAATATGAATAAATGTAGGTATGTAGCACACCATCTTCCTAATGTGTAGATGGATCGAAGAAACGGAGACTTCCAATTAAAACTGCTACGGTTTAATTCACACCAATAAAGTAAGAAAATGAATAAATCGTCGAATTTAAAAATGACAATTAATTATAAACGCTCGTTTTTTAAATTCTAATAATTCTAATAAAATATAAGCAAAATGAAAATAACTTCCATTTTTAACTATTCGCTACAAGTAAAACAATTAACGATCAGTTTGTAAACTTATTGTAATATTTAATAACTAGAAAACATTGATATCTTTTGAAAATCACAAACACCTTGAAAAATTCAATTCAGCATAAGACATTCAAACTATACTATAAAAATTTCTAATTTACAACATCGTGATAATGAGGAAGTATCCAAAAGGTGATGCTGATCTGAATTATGAGTTTTAAAATCACTGTAGTTTCATCGTAATGCAAAGAAATTTTGGAATAGATCGAAAAAGCTCTTCAAAATGCCTCCCGGTGTAACTGACTGCTCATAGTTTAATTCGTCTACTTGTCTTAATCGATAACTAATAGTAAAATATGCTCTCAGATCATTGATTATATTGATGGTTTCTTACAATAGTAACTTTTGCTGAATTAGACCATCAGAATTGCCGACACTTTCTTAGAAAGAGCTGGGATCACCATTTTAGATTAGCCCGCTAGGAGCCCAGATATGAATCCTATTGAGTATTGGTTGAATGAATTAGGACGTAGTGTAGGCACTTACGAAAGGCTTCCAGCCACACTAGAAGGGCTGTTGCATTATCAGATAAATGGGCTAATATACAACAACAAACAATAATATAATTTTTTTCCCATGTGACACCGAATGTAGGGAACAAAAAGTTGAGAATTTTACAATCTATATTTTTACAAAGTACCTTTTTGGATTTGTTGGATTTGTTGATAGTTTCATTAAAACAATTGAATCTCAAAAATACCGGGTAACTAGAAAAATATGCTGTCATTTTGTAGAAAATATGGAAATATTTCTAACTTTTAACAGAAAACAATGATTAAAATCAGGAAACGTTAAAAAAGACGAGGTTTCAAAAGTATTAACTATGTTTGGTTTGAAGTAAAGCGGTAACGCAGATATTGTTTTAAAAAAATAATGTAAATCGTAGCTGGATCACACACATCAACACTTCTTAACACACGAGGTAATAACCAAAAAATTGAACCACAAATTGCAAAAAAATATTTCCACATCGGTTAAATATTTATTTAATAACATTTGGCAATATCTCCAAATAAACAAAGCCAATTTTGAATCTCCCTGTAAATTAAAAATACTTGAAATCAGTTTCTTCTCTCGCTTTACCATTCGTATGTGCAATCACATGTGAAGCATCTAAAATTGTATAACGCTTTAATTTTAAACCATGTTTTTTATCAACCTGTTTATCTTAAACTTAGTTAAGTGAGTTTATCTTGCTTATAGAATAGCGTTAATAGGTAAAGAGGAATGGAACTTGCGGTTTCCAACAATAAACCAAATTATTATCTTAAACAGCCGTAATAACCCCTCTGGAGGAATAAAGTATCTAAGTTTCAGATCAATTCAAGTCAATATCAGAATCGAATATAATATGATATTTTGCATACCGATCCCAAAAACGCAATGTTCAAATTGTTATCGAATTTCACTTCAGGACTTGAAACACGTGGCTTTTTTGCTTATCATGAATCGTAATCGTATTTATCTCCACATATCTATAGAAAGATAATGTTACAAATGAACCAATCTAGTTTGTATTTAGAACTAATTTTGCTCAATTATTGCTTAAAATAAAATTTTCAATATGGCTTACAAAAATACACTTTCTGAAAAACTGCTAAAATGGCATAATGCAGGTTCTAAAAAACAAAGACTGTTCGTGCTTTTAATAACGTGTCTATTTATTTGCTTTGTGCTAATAATCAGTTTTCTTGCGGTTATATTTTCGCATCATCAAAGTGGTAACAACACAAATGAAGGTACGTATTTCTGCCCATAATTGCACCAGCATTTTTAAATGTTCAAACGTTTTTACTAATTTACTTAGACAATGAAAATATTATAAAAAATGTTGCTTTAAATTAAATATTTATGCGCCTATCCATATTGTAGAAATATTGCGCATCGCAGTATATAGCAGAGATAAATGTTTTTCAGAAGCTTTTATCCATATATTGCTAGAGCGTTCCTTTTCGTTATTATAATTTGTTGCTTTTTTATTGCTTGATGCTTATTCCTTTAGAAGGGGACGCAGTGGGCTCTCTATTAAGTACATATAAAATATTCAATAATATTGAAAACTTTTATATTATATTAGGAAGCATTATCTCTTAGCATTAAAATGAATAAGTCGTTGTTGAATATCTACTGATAAGTGGAACCATTTTGAAAGTTTTAGAAGATTAAAACTTCTATTCAAATTAATGAGCAATAAATAATATATTAAGTAATATGAGAAGCCAACGATAGATGGCCACATTTGTAAACAAATTGCAAACCACACAGCCGAAGCGATGAAAGTCAAAGAAAATTTAAAACAAAAAATATAAATCATTAAATTTAAATTATAAATTTAAAAAAATTGTCCTCGAATAATCATTTACCGGTAGATGCAATAGCTCTATCTTACGACCGCTAAATAGCACAACATAAAGTTAAATTATCTTTCCTACTTAAAGGAAAAATCCTAAATTTATTTTAAGGGCCATTTATCAATAATATTTAAAACATTTCTTCAAAACTTCAGAATTTTTCAGTTTTAGCAAAGGCAATATTTTTTCTAAATGTTCAATTAAAAAAAAAACACTTACAAATACTGACAATCTAAAGGTATTGTTTCAAAAATGATTTCATAAATTTTATTAGAGCACTCCCCTCTTTCATCGCTTTGAAAAAAATTTTCAAATCAGTTTCCAGCTTCGAATTTGGCACAAAAACCAAATAATCGTATTCAGTTTTTCACCGAAAGTAATTAAGATTATCTTTAAAAAACGACCAGAGCAAAAGTTTACAAAAAATAATTTGTAAAATTCGCCGCCTCATCGATCTGAAGATTTTTAATGTTTCTTTTAAATTTCAGGTCATTCTTGTTATAGCAGAGTTTTTTTAAGTAATTCTGTCTACGCAAAAAAACACATTCTTTTCCAAATTTCCTTAAAACCACTGACAATCTTCTTCTTATTCTAATAAAAATTATGAAATAAATTTTATTAGAATACTTGCCTCCTTCGTCCCATTGTAAAAAGTTTCGAAATTTGGGACAAGAATCAAATAATTTTCTATCAAAACAGGAACAGAATCAGCGAAAGTTTATAATAAATTATTTGGAAAACTCGTCACCTCCGTTCCTCTGAAGACTGTAGAGCTTGTTGAAAAATGTGGTTTTTTAGCTTTGACTGATTGTTTTTTGCTTTACTTTCCACTCAAAAGCGTTCTATTTTGTACAGTTTTACTTAAAAATACTGTCGATCTGGAGGTGTTTCACTCGAGAAATTACAAGAAAAACTTAAAGCTTTGTAGAAATTTTACCAAAACTTTTTTCAGCGTCAAATTCGGGACAAAACCAAAATTCAATTTCTCCCGTTTTTTACAGAAAATCATTAAGATTTTCTCAAAACCGACCAGAAAATTAAAAGTTTGTAGCCAAAAACGCAAAAAATATAATTTTCTGATGATTTTCTTCCTTTGTGACAATAATGAGATCTGTTCAGCTAAAAATGACAAAATTAATTTGTCTAGAAAATTCGGCTCATTCATCAGTTTGGAGCAATTTCAGCTCATTCCAGTTTTAGCAAAATTTCTATAAGGAATTCTTGCTACGCAAAAAAACGTATATATAGATATATAAATAATCTTTATTTTCAATAGGAAGGTCTTTCTGCCCTTGTGTGGTACATATGCGTCTTAGCCTAGCTTATACTAAAAAAACAATTATCTTCAGTTTTACTTAAAATACTGACAATCTTCAAGCTGTGAAAATTATAAAATAAATTTTATTGGAACACTCGGTTCCTGAACAGCTTTGTAAAATTGTTTCTGAAACCTTTTGCAGCTCGAATTTTGGACAAGACCATAATCATTTTTTCTAGATTTTTTCCCAAAAATATTTTCCCGAACAGAACAAGTGAAAGTTTATATCAATTTTTGTCAAAAGTAGTCACTTTGTAGCTGTGAATAATTTGGTTCATTTAAATTCCGGTTTCTTCGCTTATAGGTCAATAGTTCTAAACAAATCTCTCTCTAAACAGAACAACGCGTTTTTTCCTAACGTTTCATTGTAAAGTACTGGCAAAATGAGACTCTTTTATGCAAAAAAGTTAAAAGATGGATTTTCTAGGAAAGTCGTCGTCTTACAGTTTTACAAASGTCACATTTAAAAGTATGTGTTTTTGTAGTAGAACAYAAATGAGTGCTAAGCATGGCAAAACTCCTATTTCTATTAGAAAAATAATCGCAGATTTGTGAAATATGAAAGAATCCTTTAGAAATATTGGCAAAATAATTGGAAAATCACATGCAACTATACAGAACGAAGTAAATCAGTACAAATCTCCTGATTCCTATAAAGTGGGGCCTCGTTCTGGTCGTCCCAAGAAGCTAACATCACGGGAAGAGTCTAGTGTTGTGAGAAAGATTAAACGTAATTCTGAAAAAGTACTCCAAGAATTTCAGAAAAAAATTCTCTACTTTGTCTCTGGTGTCAACCGCCGTCGCCGTTCGAAAAACGATACTTTTCGCCCTTGTATCGAAAACTACTATTAAATACTTTTCTTCACATTCCAAGCATCAAATACTTTGAAGGTAGTACTTGCAAAAGTCAGTCCAAATATTATAAAATCTCCATTGCAGTTATCGTTCAAAAGGAAGGAAGTTCATTTTTAAACCACTCTGTTAATCTATATGATATACTATATAATATAAATGTTTCACAATGCTTATAACAGTAGTCCTCTAACATCCATTGCCGGAATGAAATTCACTGCATATCGAAGAGTAGTTATGCTGCATGCATAGCAGAATCCCAATACTTGGTTTTCGCGTTCACAGTGCAGCCAGCTCAATCTGCTCGACACATCGAAACACAATTTCGAGAATGTGCTGTTATATGGATTATTCACCCCGATCAGAGCAATACCACGTTGAGTCAGTGGATTATACGCCACTTTCCAATAAACTTGTGGAACTGGTATCGCTTTCCTAGTCTCATTAACGTAGTATAAGTAGAGTTCGGTTGGTTCACCAGTGTCCTTATGAGGTAATGTCGTCACTCCATATACGCCTGTCCATACCTAAACAATGAGAAAATCAACTGTGGTCATACCCAATCTGTGCACATTTTATGCATATAAACTGTTACTCTTTATGTGGAAGTCCTTCTTCGCTCCTTGCTTTTGTAATTGATATTTTCCTAAATTTGAAGTAAAAAAGTAAGCATCTTGCTACTGGCATTGTAATACAATGTATATTCATCAAATCATTTCAGCAATTACTTCCTGCTGGGAAATATGAAAGAGTACTTTACATTTTTCGCAAATTTGCAAAACAATACAAAACCGAAGACTGGTTAGTTTTTTAGGTATTTAATTTTAACGATGAAAACCTGCATTTTCATGAGGTTGATGCATCGAGAATCTGTCCGTCGTATTTATACACAAATACGTAAATACACAAAATTTTGAAATTTTAAATAATTCAAATTTAGTGAATATGATGAGCTCCCTACAGTTTAAACACAAATATTTTGAAAGCCAAATATAAATATAGAATTAGTCTTTTCTCCTGCCAAATTTCAAAATTTTCGTACATATTTTATATAACAAAGGAAAATTAAAGTTTATATAAGCGTAATTTCAAACGTGGAATAAAATATAGTGTGTTTGTTATATAATATAGTTATATGTTTTTTGCACAGCACCTTTTCTGTCGCACTTCAATTATGAATATTTTTTAAATTTGAGCGTTTAGGGCCTTACAATATGATGATGATAATTTAAAAGCAAATAATACTGGTTAAGCGTAAACTTACTTTACTGTCTCGTTGGGACAGTTTGTACAAACTGCGAATATAGAAACCATGAAAAAGATATCTAGAAAACAGCTAAGAAGCGAAGCATGTACCAAAACGTGTATGCAGAAATGTATTTATGTATGTATGTATGTAWGGGRCAATTATTACACAAATCTTGTACAGTCCCGAGCTACATGCATGAAACAGTATTAGCAAATTACACTTTTACCTTTTAAATGATTGCAAACCTTTTAAATTATTGCTTGATTTGCGTATTTAATTAATTTATTTATTTGTGGATTATTACGATTTAGACGTACACTTTTTCATTGTCTGATATTTGTGCGATAAAATCACCATCTCATACCTGTAAATCGACTCCATTTTCAGACGCATAGTCTCTCAAATCAATTTCAATTTGGTTCCAATTCCAGCCATTGAACGTCTGCCACTGAGGCGCAATGTTTTGCATGTAAAACGTTGCGTTTTGCTGTGCAGCATAAAAGTTATCACTTCTTGCCGTCAAATGTCCTCTGGCTAAATAGTAGTTGGTGGAATCTTGAATGTATTTGGTCGAATTGGCCTCTAACCCCAACTGGCCATTGATTGTTGCTCTCTGATTGGCTCTCACATATAAACTAGTTACTGATCCCACATCGTAAATACCAGACCCTTGAAGCCAGGAGGGTCTTGCAGTGCCGAGAACTTGCTGGTTGATGGAGGCAGTTTGGTTTATAAATGTATAGTAG